TTTCATTTCTGCTTTACATTTTCTATACTCCGTACACTGCACACACTGTGGTCTGCTTCACACTGATTGTATACTGCATACACGGCACACATATACTCTGCTTTACACTGACTGTACATTGCACACACTGTACACTCTGCTCAATACACTACACAATACACGGTCCTGCAATTTCTGTTTTATTCTGTATTCTGCTTTATATGATAATCCTGTCGGTATTTGCTCTGCAGTTGTGGGTCTACGCCTACTTTTCGAGACTCGCCCTAGTGCCAGACGTGGAGACCCCTCTCGTCGTTCCGTTCTCGCACCGCTTTGACGTGAGGTGCGTGCGGAGGCCCCGGGAGATGTTTATCTTTTTTTGCCGCTACTTCGACACCATCACCCCCGCAGAGGTATGTTCAACCTTTAGAGTTTTATTTGGCTTGTCTTTACACTTTATTTTCAATAACAGTAGATAACAAACTTGCATGTCATGTACAGATCACTTGGCAGCCATGGGCTCCATTGCCTGCGATGATTCGAGATCGATTTGCTAGTGCAGAGGAGACTGCATGTTTCAGGATTTTACTGGAGGGCCCGGTCTGTCGGGCTTGGTACCTGGGTGAGCGTTTCCTACGCCAGACCTTGGGTTTGCCGGAGCAGATAGTTCCGGGTCCACCTCCTACCGACATGAGGGACACCGAGAGGTGCACTGCCGATGAGATGGCCGATTACACGATCGGCTGGGACGCGGAGGGCTTTAGGGGCGAGGGTGACTACTCAGAGTACGTTCGGAAGTACATTATGCGGCCTCTGAGTAGTGGCCGCCGAGCTGAGAGAGGAGGACATGCGGCGCCGGTAGTTGGAGCGGGAGCAGGGGCAGGGACGTCGAAGACAGCTCGTGTCCGTGGCAGGAGCGGAGCTCGGAGGGGTCGGGGGGTTAGCTGGCCAGCGCTACCCACTTCACTAACATACAGAGGGCAGGGTGGGGCGACCTACCAGATCCCCTTTGCTCCTCCTCCGGCTGACCACGAGTTGGTTGGTTTCCATGACTTACCTTCGGTATGTACTACTTTATCTTGCATCTTGCATTGTCATTTTATTTCAGTTTATTGATATTCCTCAGATTACTGATATATCTAATACTTTTGCAGGCTTCTTCCGAGTATAACCGGCAGTCCTTGGAGCTGAATGCCTCCATGATGGGGATGTTGCAGCAGACTTTCGACCTCCTGGCCCTCTATAGCATTCCGGTATGTTCTTCTGATCACAGTCTCAAACCATACACATAAGCTGCTTCACATGATCTGGTGCACAACACAACACTTGATAAGTTGTTGACGGCATTCATACACTGTACTCATACACTGCATTCTGCATTGATAAACTGCTCACGGCATTCGCACACTATACTCATACACTGCATTCTGCACTGATAAACTGTTCACGGCATACTGATGCGTTTGCCTCTTATACTTTTTAGCCTCCTTTCCAGATTCCCACTGTGGAAGGTGTTTCAGCTGGACCTTCTGTTCCTACCGAAGGAGATGGCAGAGTATACCCCTGCACCAAGGCGGGGCGCACCCATGTTGGGAGTAGCTCACGGGCACCCGTCCCTGATGATGATGATGAGTCCGAGGCTGAGGCTGAGGCTGAGGCGGAGGCAGAGTCGTCCGAGGAGGAGACCGGAGACGGCTCGGGCTCAGACTTAGATGACAGCGCTGATGATACTCCTGGACCTTCGTCCAGGAAGAGGACAAGGACGGACTCCCGCGCTTGAGGCAACTGGCGCCGATCTAGAGATTTTGTTGCTTTTCTTTTTTTGCTTTATTTTTCTTTTTACTGGTAGTCTTGCACATTGTACTGCATCAGGTAGATTTTATTTTCTTCAAAACTATGTACTTTTGCAAAAGAGAATATGATGGAATGAAGCAGCTCTTTTTGTTAAAAAAGTGTTACATTTATACATTCTATGCATCGCATCGCATCGCATCCATTGAATTCAAACTAAATCCAAACTATCCAATCCAATTCCAACCAATGGCCATTTATGACCTTTTGCACTAAATTCATTATAAAAACAACCCCTCCCATATCATTTTACATGCTAGAACACACACATACACACTATATTCAGCTGAGAGAGAAGAGAGGACGGAGGGTGAGCTTGGTAGAAGAAAGGAGAGGAAGAAAAAGTTTGCTAGCAATTCCAATAACCCTCAAGTAAGCCACAACACAACTCTCTCTTATTTTTCCTTTCAAATGCATGCTCTTAGAAGTTTTAAACATTCATTTCAGATGTGTTTTGATGGTACTTTTGTGTTAAAAATGAAAGGAGTTGAGCCTTGATTCTACCTTTCTTGTATTTCTCTTAATCGGTATAAGGTTACCTTTTTCTATATCAATCTCTCAAAATTTCCAAAGGCACACCTTCATCTTAAATTTCTGAGTTTAATAAATATTATTTAGCATGTTTTCATCACAAGAGAAGTGAACATTTTCCCCTAGTTGACCTCTTTTCTCACCAAATTTCTTATTGCAAGAACTGTGCCAGAAAAATCTATTCTACAGCCAACTTTAGAAAATTCTAGAAAAATGTAGAAATATCTTCTAGACCTCAGTTTTATGTCCAACTCTTACTTAAGGAGTTATCTTTCAAGAAAAAATGGTTTCATTGAAAAAGAGTGAGCAGTTTGTGAGAAAATCTGATTTTCGTAACCATCGACGAATCTGGACAGAGCTGGAGTATTTCTGAAATATCTAAAAATCGAGAAAAGATATTCCATTTCCGAAAAATTTTCTGAAAACTAGATAAAATTCTCTACAAACCATAGGAAGGCCAGATTTGGGAAAAATCTGAAATAGTCCTTTTAATCTTGATCTTTAAGTGACTCTAAATCTGGAAATTCTATTTACATTGATATTTTGTGCTCTTGATTTTATGAATATGCTTACTTATATATAATCATGTATTGGTATGATATTATACATTTCATGGTTATGTATTTTTTTCCTTGATGATGCTTATATCTATGAAAATGTATTTCAATTACTTGTGCTAACTAACTTAGGACATGTAACTCAATGGGAAACTTAATTGGGATGGTATTGGGTTTTCGATCACTTGAATAATGAAAAGATGATAATGTATTATGAATTGATGGGATGTCTTCCCTAATTGAAGGAAAGTCTTGCGCAAAGGCTGTATTGGAACCCTTGAATGGATCAGTTGTATTCGGACCCTAGGTGCTTATGATGGATAAGGTTGGGGGAGGTTATGGGCAAGGCCCTTATTTTACCGTCTCTTTTGAGGTCCTCGGTTGGCGCCACGCGGTATATAACCATTGGTAGGCATCCAGGATAAGGTCTGCAAAGTAGCAAAAAATGGGGCATACTGAATAATCCGAGTCCAATTCTTGTGCTTAGGAGGATGAAATCTCTTTAGGGGATTTCTAGAATACTAACCACTAGCATTATACCCTTTGTTATCTATTTGAATGTCATGTTCCTTTCCTTTATTTTTGAAATTGCTGTTATTGACTCAAATATCATGCTTCACTACTTACTTGTTATAAATACGTTGGTATATTGAATTGGAAAAAAGGGACAGGGTGTGTACGTTTACTGGGCATTCAAAGCTCATGACGTTTTATGTCAGGTATTGAAGAGTATTAAACTAGTCGAAGGCAAAGCTGAAGCATTAGAGGACGTACGGTTACCCTAGGAGGATTAGAAACTAGTTTGTAAACGTTTTGTGAGATTGTAAGTGATAGATCCCATGTTGTATTTAAGACTTGATTTGGTAATTATTATATATCTGTACATATATTTTATACTACCTATTCCTTATTTTTCGTCAACTCATGTAGACTTTATATTAATACCTTGATAAGATCTGTCAAAAAAGTAGCTTCGCTATCTAAGGAGATTGGACTTTGAAGGGAGGCCAGTTTTACTCCTCCGATCTTTCCTGGGATCTTACTTGGTTATTGATCAAAGGACTCATTAGTGACGTTTCTTATTTTGTAATCTTAGATAAACCTCGTATTTATTTGTTATTATATTCTTTGATGTTCCCGATTTTTGGGGCGTCACAAACAAAAGCCAACCCTGAAGAAGTTCCGCTAATTAGAAGCATTCGCCTGCATTTCTCATGCATTCATTTGTTGAAAGTGCTACAATTGGTTAAGAACATGAAGATTATATTAGCACATGGATCCTGTAATTTACCCTGTATCTACGTAAACAATTGGGAATGAGAATTACCCACATCAGAACAATAAGAAATGCAGAGAGTAAGATGAGCATATGAAGGAGTTGAAGATAAGAAGAGTATATGGATGCTCTAATTTTTCTTGTGTCTACCCAAACAATTGAAAATGAGAATTACTCATAGATCAGAATATCTAAAAATGCAAAGAGCCATATGAGAAGATCAAAGAACTTGGAGATTACAACTTTTGGAGACTACTTTGCTAACCGAACAAATATGTTAAAGATAAAATATTCATGAGCTACTTGTTACTGAACAATGGGCGAAATAAAACATGAAAGTTATTGAAAAAATTCTCTAATAATTGAAGAGTGACAAAGTAGTCGTTACTTGATCACCTTCTCCTTTTGGTCTGTGTGTTTGGACTAGAACACATAGGTACCCTCCAAAAAATTAACAAATGCATTGCAATATGCTTCCTCTTTATAACACGCAATAAATCTCAATAGTTCGTGCTCCTGTTAAAAGTTTCCAACAGTGTGGTTTGATATAATGGTGTAAACTATAAAGCATGGAAGAAAATGATTCTCAATTGGTTTAACTCAAAGTTGTATATATAATAAGTGCAAAGAGCATAACACCTTTGTCTTCAAATGTTCAACAAGCTGGTTGCTTGTTTCATCAAACTGCTCTCTTTCTTTCCTGGCATTATGAAGACGTGCTCATGCAGAATGTAATGAGCTTTTGACCTATAGCAACCATTCATTCTCATAAGATGTGTTATGGTTAATCACCATGGAGATGTTAATGAGTAAAAATGATCTGACTATAGAATGGAAGTCATGGTTTCAATTTTTAAGAGGGCCAGGGACAAGTGTACACAGGGCCAGGTACAAGTGTGCAACATTATGCATGTGACACAAATAAAAAAACAGGTAGAGTTGAAAACTTGAGTCAATATTTAATGAAGAGAATTCTGCAATTGCAATAATGGGGTTTTTTAGGTGATGGGGGACCACCAAGCAAGCACCTTTTTCAATTCATCTTGAAGTTCATCTCTTTGCTTTTCAAGTGTTCCAATCTGCACATCAAGATAAGCAAACAACATGGGCAGATGAAAAAATAAATTTGAAAACTTCAGAAAGACAAACTCAACCTAACAATCATTTCATTATGCATCATTTTTTTTTTCTTTTTTTTTTTCCCTTCTATGTGAAAGTTATTGGAGAATGAAGTTTGAATATATACATGAACTTGTTCTTGCAATTCTGAACAACCATTTCCGCGAAACATGAACTTCACCTTCGAATTCCAGTGAAGCTGGTAATTTTGCTTAGAAAAATGAAATTGTCTTCCATCCTGAAAAAGAAGACAAAACAATTAGAATGATACAATTGGTTAAGAATAATTCATTGCAAGAAAATAATGTGTTTGAACCTTACAAAATATATGAGAATTAACTATTAGTAGGTCTCTGCAGAAGTCAACTATTCTTAGGTACGAAGTGCAAAAATGATATCTTTAAGATTTTGACAAAAAAGTTGCAAAAGCATAGTTTAATAACACTGTACATGTGCCAGCAATTCTCGATACACAACATTTCTTGTAGCGCAGATCTTTTCATCAGTTTCATTTCTTGATGTGCTAAGAACTTTCACTGCTGCAGCTGTTGTTGCATGTGAGAAGGTAACATAAAGTTGTTCATGCGAAAACACTGGTTCTCATAAATAAATTCCAACTTCCTCTAGTGTTTGTCCTTGTGCTTTATTGATGGTCATTGCAAAACACAATTTGATGGGATATTGAGTTCTAGTGAACTGCACAGGGAACTTTTTGTTGATCAGAAGGTTGTAATGGAATTCGAGGTATGAAAACCATGTCTCCCTTGTGATCTCCTACATCAATTTCTGCGCAAATAACATGATCTTTGAAATCTCGACATATAAGACGTGCTCCATTGCAAATGCCTTGTGAAAGATCAATATTTCTTAAGACCATAATGGGACATTTTTTTTTTCAAATACAGCTCATGAGGTGGAAGGCCATTTGGTTCAAGAGAATTTATGAAATCCTCATATTGTCCTTGATTATTTGGATCAGTTGCTTTGTCAATGCTCATGAATTTTGTTATTTTGCCAGGAAATCTTTGAATCAAAATATTATTTATTTCATTGATAGAGTCATTCTTAGGAGTTAGCACAACAGAGTTCACCATTGAGATAGGATCTACTCAGTATTTGTAAAGATTTGGAAACAATGCATCAATTAGATAATGAAGCAATTTTTGTTCCTGAATTGGTTTCGTCTAAGGAATGATGATAGAAGATGGTAAATGAACGCTTTCTGAAGCATCTGTTGGTTCAATTCCATTTCCAATGAGCAAAAGGTAACCACTAAAAGAAGGATCAAGTCATGCACGCATGTTGATACTCAATTTCATTTTTTGTAAGGACTTCCATAGGTAAGATTTTACTAAGCTAGCATCAATGGAGTCATATTTGGTTCCCTTCGGAATCACAGGCAATATTTGGCGAAAATCGCCACCAAATACAACTACTTTACCTCCAAAAAGCAATTCTGATTCATTAACATCTTTCAGCATATCGTTCAACGATTCGATATTTTGATGGTTAGCCATAGATGCCTCATCCCAAATGATTAGTTTTGCGAGGTGCGATAACTTCGCTAACCCATTTTGTTTGCCTATGTTGCAAGATTTATATGTGTCCATGTCAATAGGTGTTTTGAACCTGGAGTGAGCAGTGCAACCACCAGGCAAAATAGTTGTAGCAACTCCAGAGGATGCGGTTGCTAAAGCTATGTAATGTTTATGAATTTCCTGAGAAAACTCTATCAGTTATTATCTTGAAAGCATTTTTTTGCTCAGGAGATAATAAGGAGATAGATTGGTAATCACTTTCAGAGACAACAATGCTCATTTCTTCTTCAATCTCACGACAAATTTCTTCATTATCCAAGGAAAGCATTCAGTTTGAACAGAGGTTAAAGTCAGTTATATTTCTGCCCATTGATTGTAGAATCAAATTTATGCTTTGGAAAACCTTTTTTAATATCTCTTGTTTTGGGAGATTTGTTTTTTTCACATAATCTTCGGCCAAGGAATCTTGGAATTTGAGGCAAAGTTGTTCCTAATTGTTTGGGGCACAATGAACAAGAATTGTTGCAAATAGACACCTTAGTGAATAAGGCATTTGATAAGCTATGGCCTCTTGTAAACATTGTTCAAGATTGTTGTTAGATTCCAAGAGGCCGTTCAAAAGTGCAGATTCTCGAAATGTTTTGACTTGTTTGCCATTCACTGTTCGTAGAAAGACAAATGATGTTGGTTTTCGAATGTTATTCAAGAATAGTCTAAGTACCTTTCACCTTGACTAGGATGTCCTGTGACAATTCGGCCTATGACTTTTTGTTTTTTCCTTTCTGTCCACATTCTATCACTCTGTGACCAAACAAAATATTCTGGAAATTCTTTATACAAATAATTTCTAACTTTAGCTTCCTCATTTGTTCTATTCATTAAAAAAAATTCAGTTAACATTGTCTTTGAGAATGTATCATTTTTCAGTACAGAATTGAGATCTGCAGTTTTTTTACAAACTGTTGATTTTCAAAGTGGATTTGAAGCTGGATTACTGAGGGGTGGATATCATTTAAAGGAAATGCATAGATTCTCCACAATGCTTCTGAGGGAGAAATCCACCTTGCTGGTTGAAATTGATCGATTTCATCTATATCAAATGATTGATTTTCTTGAACAACATGGAATCCCACTCTGTCATGGCCTTTATAGATGTATTTACACAAGTATTTGACAGCCTTTACTGTCGAACAAATCTCAACATTGACGTGACAATCATACTTAGCAAGTAGATATGGATTGTAAGGGATTACCCAACGATTGTCAAGTATTTGTCCTCAAGCTCTAACAGTTTGGCAATCATCTCGGCGCCTATATATAGGATAAGAATCTTCTGAAGTTCTTTTTATAGGCTTGAAATTTTTGGGATAATGATTTTTGCAGTTTCCCTTTTTCATGCAAACATTGTTTGGATTCAAATGACCACAGGGTCCATGCAACATGTGTTACACAACCATAGAATATATATGTGGATTTTCTTTTTCATTTGGGATTTCAGCGCATACTATAGAATCATAGCTTTTTGAAGTGAAGAACTTTTGTCCGCGTTGTAAAATCAACATGGAAGACCTCTCTTTTGGAATTTAATGACATACACAAACGCTATAATTGTTCCAAAAAGTAGTCGTTTGACTATGTCATCTTTTAACTGTTCCATTTTTGCTCTAAATACACGAGAAGTCAAATCAGGTCTATTTTGAGCCTCTTCATTTGGTCCCAACTCTACTTTGATTTCTGGCCATGATAGGTTATGTAATAACCCGACCCTCGTACATGTGTTCTGATATATTTTCAGTCCCTTTATTCTGTGTCTTTAAATGTTTATTGTGAAAGTTCATGAGAAATTAAGTTTAATTAAGTGAACCTTATAATTATAGATCCATATCTGTTTAATAAGAAAGCATATCTGTCACAATTATGATGTTCGGATCAGAAATTGGAAGCTTTAGAGGCTTAATTACCTGAAATTGATTTTACATCTGAGATCAGCATAATTTTTAAGTATTAATAAGCATTTTTGTACAAATTCGATTAGGGATGATTAAACTGATTAAATTTTGTCTTTACTCATTTTTAGACATATATGTTTATATGCTACATTTCTTTGACTTAAGAGCCATACAAAAACAATCTCCTGAGAGAGAGAGGAAAGAAAAGAGTGAAGGGGAAAAGGAAGTTCTCCAAGGATGGAAATGAAGAAACTTAGAGGGTTAGTAGAGAATTTAACCCAAGGTAAGTCTAATCCTTATTGATTAATCCTCCTCTTTGAATTGAGAAAGAATCCCCTTATATTATGATGTTCAATGGTTAATTAAATTGTTGTTTCTTGTGTTGAAATGAGTTGGAAGGATGTATTGAATGATCTAGTGAGGAATTTCATTTTATTACTTCAATTATAAAGCTTGAGTTTCAAGATTTCAGTGGTGAGGAGGCCCAAACACAATGGTCCCGGAGCTCAACCGAAATGGCACAAAATGGAGCCTTTCAAGGCTTAAGAGGTGTCAAACAACCCCAAAGCTTAAAACACCTTTAACAAACTATTTAGGGCAAGTAAAAACACAGCTTTTATATGTTATACACCAACCTCAAAAACGGATGCAAGATAGGTAAATAAGCTATGCAAAAATGGGCGAAAAAGGGACAAGTTTCTTACCCTTGTAGACCCTCTTCACCAATGGTGAACCAACTGGTTCTTCAAGCTCAAACCAGCTCCACAACCCCAAAAACAACCCTCAAGGGCCTCAGCTCCAAGAAAAGGTGTGATAGTGGGTGTTTGTGTACAAAACTAAGACAAAACACACACAAAACACAAGAGAGAGAGAGATATAGAGATGGTGGATATATGAACCCTAACCCTAAAACTCAAAACCCTCTAAAAATGTTGTCTAAATTGTCTAACCTTAGAACAAGGGAGAAGAGGCCCCTCTTTATAGAGCTTCAATCTTGTAAGCTTACAAGACAAGCTAGCTAAGAGGGAAATCCCTCCATACACGTGTATGGAGGGGAGCCAAGTGCATGCCAGCTGCATGAAAATATCTACAAAAGCATATGCGCAATAGTCGGCCAGCCAAAAATGCAATTTACAAAAAAAAGATAGCCGGCCGGCCATCTATAGTACCGGCCAGCCAAACATTTGGTCGGTGGCAACAAAACACAGTCGGTGGCCTCAAGCCATGGCCGGTGATGTGTGGAGATGGCTCACATGCCATTCCCTGCCCCTCCAAGGCAAAGCACAAGTGTTTGGTGTAAAACCAGATACAAAGCGGTCGAGTCGAGAGATCTTGAGAGAAAGGCACATAGCCGAGACCTCCGGGAACTCAAGACGAACACAAACATGGATGATCACCGAGTGTTCAAGCGGTGACGTCCAAGTCTTGAAGACGGTCAAAAATGGTGCGTCTACAGTTGCCCCTCTTTGACAGAACTCGAAAGTCATAACAATGGTGGGAGTGAATGTCAAAGCCCAGAGATGACCCATTTTTGACAAAGCCGAAGACTTAGACAAACATGCAAGACAAACAAGATATGTGCCCGAAGGCAGGGGCAAAATGCAAGACAATGCACAAAGCCGAACATAACTTATGATCATGCAAAGAAAGCTGGAACGAAGCATAACATGCGACAGTTTTAAGCTAGCATACACCAAACTACACTACAATGCAGAAAGGATGTAAGAGAATTATGCAATTCTCGATACGTCTCACTCAGAGGATACAATACCTGTCTGGTTCGTCTGGTTGCACCAGCCTCAAATGAACCGTACATACAATATCGTGCCTGCAACGAAAGCAACTTAACAGGTACGATATCGTTAGCAACATGC